TCAGAATCCGCAATCCTTCGCGCGCGAATAGTAGTGCATACTTGGCCTCTCCTATATTGAATGGTTCCAAACGCGTCACAACTTTGTGATCAATATTGTTGATTGCATTCATTGTATTTATTGCTACTTGAAATGTAGCAGTACCATGTAAGCGAAATACAGGAAATGAATATTATTACACTCACAAATAAAGATGTGATTAGGAAAGAGGAAAATTTCCGAGCATCTTAAAGGAAGCGGTCACGCTGGCTTCCACGCTGGATTTGCTACCCTCGCGTTATCAATCGATAAGGTGTGAGGCAGTAATTGTTGGACGAGTGTAAGCCCATGGAAGATATGATACGATGAGATAAGAAGGTGCGGCTGCTTGATAAGAGGTGCACTCCAGAATGAAAACGGGACGATAACGATAACGGTATCATATCTAGCACGCTCTTATCGCACCCCTTTCCACATCGATAAGTCTTGGTTTTTGCTGAACTTGAGTGAATTTCCTCTTTATAATCACATCTTTATTTGTGAGTGTAATAATATTCATTTCCTGTATTTCGCTTACATGGTACTGCTACATTTCAAGTAGCAATAAATACAATGAATGCAATCAACAATATTGATCACAAAGTTGTGACGCGTTTGGAACCATTCAATATAGGAGAGGCCAAGTATGCACTACTATTCGCGCGCGAAGGATTGCGGATTCTGACACCAGCCTTACTTTTCCAGTAGTCTTTTTTCTTTGACAGTCGAAGTATCCCCACATATAAGCAAATAGCCAGAAATTACTGGAATTTCGGCTGTCGTGGTAGTCCACCTCTTGTTTTTTCGTCATCTCGCCCCGTGAATCTTTCCTTTTCAAATTCGGGCAGGTCTGTAATGAGCAAAATTCCTAATTTCAGTAACCCTTCCAGTCGTCTGTCTTGGCGGTTTTGAAAGTTCTCAAAAACTTCTTCCCCTATGAAGATGAAAATTGGAATTCCAAAAAAAATACCCATCATCATTCCAGAAATTATATATCCCTTTATAACGGGCCATGCGAAAAGTTGGGAACTTTTAGATGCTAAAATCAATGCCTTGCCAGTTTTCAACCTTTGAGTATCATAATTTCCTCACAATTGAACTTCTTCTAATTCTGTAATTTGACTGCAAGATTTGTTCTTTTAACGCCTTTGACGACAATAGCACTCACCGGTGGGTGCCACCTTGAAATTTTCTTTTTGCTCATTCGAAGCAATTTTAACACTCAAATAACAGGCTTCTTCATATCTGTGACTAGCACGGCTCGCAGGAAAATTTATTTAGAGCTAATTTACATAGACATTTAGCTCGACTGCGAATCAATTGGAGTTTTGCATTATTAGGCAGAAGATTAATTGCTAATCAATACTTTTTCTTCTTTTCATACTTTCTCGCCCTCAGATAGGGAAGGAGTTTCAGGTGTAAATGTAAGGTGTCGAAAATACTTCTGGGTACAAAAATTTTTAATGGTTTTCCCATCCTTCGCTTCAAAAATCCGAGTTCCTTTCCAAATTTCCAACTCTTTTTCCAGTAGTACACAGGGGTGTTGACCACGGATCTCTTTCACAGGGGTGGCAAAAAAAGACACTTCACTCCACATTCAAAACAGAATTATTTACACTTTGCGAGGCCGGATCAAATGATCCCAACGGAGTATTAAAGAGCACGTTTAACCTACTAACAAGCTACAAAGCAGTCTTCTACAGCGACGACATCAGAAGATTTCCGAAGCTTGAACCTGCAGCTGTATTTCGTATAATGCTAAAGTCAAAACTCGATAGAAAACCTGGTTTATGGGACACTTCCCTAATTTTAAACGAGAGTTGAGCGCGCCAAAAAGGGGCGTGTCCGACGAGCCCGCTACGTTGTCGTGAAAGGGTTAATTTTAACTGGAAAAGCTTTCGATAACGGTTGAGTCGAAAAATAGTCCGTTGCTGATTCTTTTCCCGAGGTTCTTGAGGTATACAGTGCGCACCAAAAGTTTTGGACACCCTGGAACCGAGGGGCGCTAGGGCGGCTTTTTATGTCATCCTAAACCTTCCATTTCAATTCCTAGTGGTCGATAACCTACAATGATGCTTTTCGACAAGAAGATTCCGTTCTAGTTAGCAAACTATTTTTGATGGAAATTTTTTTCTTTGTATCAAAAATATACGGACACTCTCTGAAAAAGGCAATATCTTCAGAATCTGAAACCGGTAGGCCTACCAAAGTTTCTAGTAGGTTAAGGCACTTTGTTTGGAATGCTATGAACCGGCTCTGGATACTTGTCTTGCCGTATTCACCTTGCTTCCACTTTCAAACGACAGCAAATTTCATTCACGTGTTATCACTTGTGATATTACTCTTTTGTTCAATGACGTAGAGACCGCGAACCACGATACCTCTACGTTTTCAATAAGGATGAAGTCTGAGGAATACGCTAGCCGACTTGCCAATCAAAGCCGTTGCGTTTAGCATTTTTCCAAATGGAATGGTGTCAGGGACCTCCCCTGCAAAACAAGTGTCTCGATGGTGACTTCTCGAAAAAGGTTGTGTGGCCGGGATCACAAGCACCTCATTATAATCCCAGTTGTCTACCTGACATATTGGCAAGCCAAACTCCAATTTTCCCTCCTTTTGGAACCACCTCCAGACCTTTGATGAACATCCTTCCGAATTGTCTCTTCGAGCACATCTGCGGGTCCGACCAAAGTCTCTCCAAAAACCACAAGGCCCACCCGAATAGCAAGGAATAGCTTCTTTCTGCCAGTCGAGTTGGTCTATGAAGAAATTTCCACAGAAAGTCTTTTATACTAATTTTACCATTTCCACGAAAGCGCTGTCTGTGTGGGTTCAAAGTATCATGTTGTGATCCTTTTTTGAGTGGGAATTCCAACCTTGCCAACCTGAACCCGCATTCATATACGAAGCCTTCTTCATCTTCTTTCGTGTCGTGTGCTCAATTGATTGAATGAGACACCCGATTGGTCTTTTTTAAGATCGGGAAGATCATTTATGCGTAAAGTTGAGTAGTACGAAAAGAAAATTTGAGAAAATTAAGGCTATTCTTCTCCTGTTTTGAACAAGTAGCGATTGAGAACAACCCTCAGTCAAGGTCGAGAGAGCTTAGCATCAGGATTTCGGATTTCTCTCCAAACCTACGAGGACGCATGACTGGTTGACGTGCTATTTCGCAATAGGAAGGTTCAGAAGCATGGGGATCCCATTTCTGTGCTCGGTCTTCTTCAGAAAAATCGCTT